AGCCCATTTGTTCGACTCTCCCAAGGTGGGTCCTCTCCTACTTGGCCCAAAATGGTAATCAGAGAGCTAGTCTCTTGTGTGCATTCTGGCCATCAGGCAAGAGGAAGTGGGTGTTGGGCCTAGCATTTAAGACACCGGCGTCCCATATCAGAGTACCTGTGTTGGATGCTTGGCGCTGGTGGCTGACCACATGCCACCAATGCAGATCCAGGAGGCAGTAGAGCTGGCTCAATTAGCTGAGTTCCTGCTGCTCATGTGGAAAACCTGGATGTCATCCCCCGCTCCCAACTTCAGTTCCAAACCAGCCCGTGGCCAATCCCCAGCCATTGTGGACATTTGGGGAGTGAACCAGTGAATGGGAGTTCTCTCTGTCTTTCCCTCTGAGTGTCTTTATGCCTCTTAAATAAATTTTTAAAAATAAAAATAAAGGTTAACAAAAAAAGAAAGGAAAAGAAGAGGAAGGTATAACATTCAATTCCTCTTTTAGCAATTTACAGATTGGTGTTGTGTCTTTCATTCTGGTGGCACGTGCACAGATAAAACCAGGAGTTCACCTACTATGGAAGGGAGGCAAGAATGCATATTGGGTGATAGCTAGAAATTCTGGCATAAAATTATTTATCCCATTTCATGTGGTAGAAAGCGAATTATCCAAGGAGTAAAGTCACTTTCCCTAAGTTAAGAAAAAAAAAGCAGAGAGCAATTCTAAAGCCTGCTGCATTCTTGTCATTTTACCATAAAGCATAAAAAGGATAAGAACCAACCCAATTAAATTTTTTACACTCTGTCAATTAAATTCACTCCAATCCAACTAATTCTAAAGCCTCATATTTAGTGCTTATCATAAGTCAGAAACTATTTTAGACGTAGGGCACTGTGATGGTTATGAGAGGATTTATGGAACATAAATATGGATGAAAATGCTTATGTGGATCTACATTTTCAGTGTGTGTATAGACGACAATGTAGATGAAAACAGATACAGGCAAAATCACCGGCTGATTCACGGAGAACTTAAGGAAGCTTAAGCCTCAATATCTTTCGTTAGCTAAGCCTTCGAAGACCCAGGGCTGTGGCGAGGGGCCACAGCAAGGCATTCAGGTGGCCACTGGATTCTGTGAAATTTGCAAAAGGTATTTGAAATGCATCAAGTGAAGAGTTCTGTCTCCTTCCTGTTTGACTTTGCCAGTTTTACACTTTCCTTTGATCAAGGTGAAGGACTGGAGGACCCTCAACATTTTTTGAAACTATTTTAGGGGATGAGCTGAGAATCTGTTTGGCCTGGGTTCGAGGAATACTTATATTACGTATTGTAGGCAATACCGGTGTGAGAATGCCTTCCAGTATCAAACGTAGTGAATTAGGAAAAACCTAATCTTTGATGATTTCACGTATAAAACACTCACATTGAAGAAGTGACAAACAGGCCAGTGCCGTGGCTCACTTGGTTAATCCTCTGCCTGCGGCGCTGGCATCCCATATGGGCGCCGGGTTCTAGTCCTGGTTGCTCCTCTTCCAGGCCAGCTCTCTGCTGTGGCCTGGGATGGCAGTGGAGGATGGCCCAGATGCTTGGGCCCCTGCATCCCCATGGCCAGGAAGAAGCGCCTGGCTCCTGGCTTCAGATCGGTGCAGTGCCAGCCGTGGTGGCCATTTGGGGGTGAACCAACGGAATGAAGACCTTTCTCTCCGTCTCTCTCTCTCTCTCACTGTCTAAAATGCTACCTGTTAAATAAATAAAATTAAAAAAAAAAGAGTGACAAACAGTGTGCTACTACAAGGCTACAAGGCGGTAAGTTTCTTGTTAGTGAGTGATGTCACACAGCACTAAATTCCTCAAGAAAAACAAAAATATCCTGAAGTCTTACAGCTCATTTGAAAAGAATGTGATGGAGTTTAGTGGAGTGGGCGTTTGGCACAGTGGGTTAGGAAGTAACTTAGAAGGCCTGCATCCCATGTTGGAGTGCCTGGATTTGAGTCCCAGCTCACTTCTGATACTAGTTTCCTGTTTATGTGCACTCTAGGAGCCAGTAGAAAATGGCTCAAATACTTGGAACTTTCTCACCTTGTGGGAGACCTGGATTGGGTTTCCAGGCATTTGAGGGTTCACAGAGCAAATCAAGAAGCAGTCTTTTCTCTCTCTTCCTCTCTCTTTATCTCTTCACCTCCCTCCCTTTCTCTTTAGAAAAATTGAATAAGGATTGAAGAAGATGTAAGAGCAATTTCTGCTGGAAAATTTATATCTCATTTTTTAACTGAGATATGCGGCGACTACAGGGGTGTGACTGCTGACCTTCGCCAACCCTGCAGACTGCAACCCCCTCTTCCTCTTCTTCAAAACCTCCTGGTACTGTTATTTAGTTTTCAGGATTCAGTTTTTGTACATCTTTTGTCAAATTTATTACTAAATATTTTTGGGTTTCTACAATTATTAAACATAGCAGCATCTTCCAATTTTATTTTCCAATTTTTGCTGTTATGACATAGACACGTCTCTAATTTTTGGACAGTGATTTCACACCCTGTAATATTTCTACATTCTTTCCTTCATTAATTCTTGGTTCTTTTGGGGTCTCTGGGCAGCTTTTCTAGGTTCTTCTATGCAAAGTATTATGTTCTGTAAATATGAGAGTACTAAAAAAGTGGAAATAGGATGAAAATACAAATTTATTTGGATGCAAAAAATTTTGAAAATCATGTACAGATTTTTGATGATCTACCTTTGCAGTGAGTTTTTGAAGATCCCTCATATGCATGGATGTCAAGAAATTTTTGCAACAAAATAATCCTTTAAAATTTTCTTATGAATTTTTAGAAATACCCTCTTATGACATTTTTTTTCATTCTGTTTTCAAATTTATTTGCTTTTTCTCCTTTGTATTGCACTGGCTGGATCCTTAGGAAAAGCAGAATAACTATGGAATGGTTTTCTTATGTTGTTCTGAAGTTGGGTAGAAATATCAAACATATTACCATTAAGTGAAAATTTTTTACAATAATCCCTTTATTGTATTGAGTATATCCTGATTTTTGGAGTTGTTTTTTAATTATAAATGACTATTGATTTGTCCAAGTACTTCAGTCCCTTTTACTCACTTGGGAGACCAGGATAGAATTCTTTATCGACTTCTACCTGGCCTAGCTGTGCTGTTGTGAGCAGTTGGGAAGTGAACCACCAAATGGATTTTTTCTCTATCTCTCTCTCTGAAAAAATAAACTATATATATATATGTATATATATATATATACATATACATATATATCTTCACTGTCTCATTGCTCTGCCTTTGAAGTGGAGGAAAAGAAATAAATTTTCTTAAAAAAGAAGTAAATCTGTCCATTTATAACAAGGATGAACCTGGTGAACACCATATGCCACATACAGAAAAACAAATACTCAAATACTGCATGATTTTGTTTATCTGTGGAATAAAAAATTGAACGGATAGTATCAGAGAGAATATTAATGATTGGAAAGAGGAAATATGGTTGGGAAAGGACATGAACTTCTACTAATGAGATGAATGAATCTGGAAACATGATATACTGGATGGTATATAGTTCATAATCATGTATGATACAGATGAAATTTACTAAAATAGTAGGTAGATCTGGTGCATCCTCACTACCAAAATATTCTTTAAAAACTAAAATACAGGAAATGACAGAGCTTAGTTGTGATGATCATTTCACAATGTGTATCAAAACATGTGCATACCTCAAATGCACACAACTTTTAATTTAGTAAATTACTTCACTAAATCTCAGAAAACTTTAAAAAATACCATTTAAATTTATCATAGACTTGTAGCTTCTATCACTGTGAGAAAGGAAATTTCTGTTGTTTGAACTCCCCAGTCTGTGGCATTTGGCTGTGCAACCTGTGCTGGTTATTCTGACTTTCTACATTTTCTTGTTGATCATTTGGAAGGCTTTATTTTTCAAGGAGGTTTTTAAATCTAAGATGGTGGATCTGTTTGCAAAATTTTTAAATGTTCAGAATATGCCATTATTATCTTTTTATTGTTTATAATACCTATAGTGATGCCTGTTTTCTCGTTTCTGATATTGGTAATTTGTATTTTTATCTCTTCCTTTTTAGTGATCATGCTAGAAAAAAGTTTATCAACTTTTAAATTAAAAATTCTAACACTAATATCCCTTAGTTGAGTGTCAGATCCTGTATTAACATTATTATATTAACATCATTACATGGTTTCATCATGCTTAAAATTACTGTGGTATTGTTTTCCATGTTGTTTTACTTTCAATATAGCTGTGGTTTTATATTTACAATAGATCTCTTTTAAAGGATATATTGGTGGGTCTCCTTTTGTTGTTGGTCTCCTGTTTGTTTCTTTTATTTAATAAAAAAGATTTATGTATATTATTTGGAAAGAAGAGAGAGAGAGAGAGAGAGAGAGAGAGAGAGAGAACCAGAAAAACAGGACTCAGGCTGGGCCAGGCTGAAACCAAGAGTCAAGAACTTCATCCAAGTCTCCCACATGGATGGCAAGAATTTGGGCCATCATCTGCTGCCTTCCCAGGAGTATGAGCAGGAAACTGGATTGGAAACAAGAGTAGCCAGGACTGGAACTAGCATGCCAACCTGGAATGTCCTAAGCAGTAGCTTAACTCAGTGTTCCACAACACCCACCCCGATCCCTTTATTTTCGTTATTTCTTTTCCTGTTTTCTAGTCTTTTTCAATATGTTTTCTTGTGATTTTCACTATTCTATGCTATGTCTTCTAGTGGCTTTCTAAATTGTACATATTTGTATCATGTTAGTGGTTTCTCTGGAGGATATAGCATGCATTAATTTATCAAAATCTCTCTGACATAACTTCATCACCTGTGTTCATGAAAGAACTTCCTTCTACTCCCTCCCACCCTTTTTTCTGTTACCATCGGATCCTTTCCTTGTGCTCATTATGACTTCATCATACATTGTTATGACTTCTTTCTTCATCTTTGGAAAGATTCTTTTTACTCTAGTAGAACTTAAGACTATAGGCTACATGCACATTTTCTAAAGCACTGAGAACTGCGAGACCACGGAGGGTAAGGCTGCTTGTTAGTGGTGCCCAGTGGGAGGTGAGGATCGGGAGATCATGACAATGGTGGGAGGCGAGGCTGTGGACTCTTTCTATGTCCACCCACAGCTTCCTCTGCTCAGTCCTTGAGTTTCCCCTATGTGCCACTGACTGAGAGAATTCCCTTAGCATCAAGGACCTCTTCAGATCCATGTCCTTAACGTCACCAGCAAGTCAGTTTGGTTTCTTACAGTCTCAGCAAAGACTGCACTTTTTGGACAACTGTGCTCATTGGCCCACTGACCCCCAACTTCCCAGCATGCTCAAGATGTGTTGCGTTTTTCACTCCCTCACTGAGTGAAGGTTTGCCTTTCTGAAGTTTAGTTTTTTGCATTTCTTTATGTCCACACTCTTAGACGATATTTTTAAAGCATATGACCTTTTATTATTGTTCAGTTCTCGTTGTTTCCTTGGAAGCTAAAGTCTATTTCTTTCTAAATATTAAGCAAAAGTGAAACCCTCTAAACTTCCTCCTCCTCTTCTTTCCCTCCCTCTGTCCTTCCTGCCTTCCCTTCTGTCCTTAATTCTCTCCTCTCTCTAGATAGATAAATAGATAGATAGATCTCTCTATATATCATCTATCTACCTATCTATCCATCTATCTATCTATATCATCTCTATCTCCCTCTCCCTCTCTCTATCTCTCCCTCTCTCTCAAACAGACTTTCCCATCACTTTCCATCTTCCCACAGTTGAAGGTCTACCATTCCTAATGTCCAGTTTAAGCCTCTCCCCACTGTCAGACTCTTTCCTAAATTTATATACTTGTCACTCAGATAGCCACTTTCCTCTTTGGAAGTGACTGCACTCTCTAGCTCTGTCACTTCTTTGTGATTACAACTATAGCTCTGTGGTTAGTTTTTTCCTTTAATGGACACGGTGCATGTTCATTAAGAGCTCCTGTCCAAGAAAAGCCCTCCCTTGAATGTAGGTACCATAGTTTTTGTTTGTTTGCTCTTTGATTTTTTTTTTTTAAATTCATCACAGCTCAAGAGCCAGCAGAGTGCTCACGAGTGAGTTTGTTTGAGGATAATAGTGAACATAATGATGGCGATAATGTTCTTGTTTAAAATGGAAGAAAATAAGAGATAGGAAGTTGTCTTTTCCACATAATAAATCTTCTTTGCTATAATAAAAGATGTAATGAAGCACTGTCCAAATACACATGCACTTACTGTGTATACATTATTTTAACATAAACATGACTATCTATAAACAAAAAGTCAGGATGTCTGACTCTGCCAGGCATAAATATACTCAAATGTATTGATAACCTTATGTGCTGTGACGATTTGTTTTATTTTCTTTTGAACACAAGTGTTTAGTACAGGCTTTAAGAATTTACAGATCATGATAAACAAAAGCATCAAATGATGGGTAAGGAACTGAATTCAACTCAGGAAACATAATTATCATTGTAAGATACACTAAAGAAATTTTCAGTGATGATAATTTTACAAAAATCATTCCAAACATAATTCAATGAACGTGTCTTTCTCTGAAATCAAATCTGTACTTCTTAGATGCCATTCTTGTTAATATCCATCATTCTTGTAAGGATTCTTCCAGCTCAGAAGTACCACAGAAACACTTCTCATGAGAATGGATGCTAGTGAATTATGACCATAAAGTACAGTTTAGCTTACATTTCTAAAATGTGCAATTATACAGGCATTAATTGAGAAATGTGAAGCTTTATTTGAATGGGGAGATGGTATCTGGAGAAAAATGACCTACAAATGCTCAGTAAAAATTATTCATCACAGCAGAGGAGGCAGAGCACAGATAAAATGGTGTGAGTGGACCCGGAGGATTTTCTCTCTGGCAAAGTCTTTGACAGGATTTATAATCCAGGCTTCTGGTGATGACTTTTCACACCATGAATAAAACTTTGAATAAACTCCTCTAAGGTAGAGCAGCTTCACAACTCCCCTTCAATTCAAAGATTCCCTAGGCTCAGTTTTTGCTTTGTTTTGTTTTTCTAATTTCTTTTTAGTCTTGTTTCCCTGTGCTGTTCGGTAGCTGAGAGAAAGTGTCTTACTTTACTCACTCTCACTTCTCTCCCTGTTGCTATCTAGGTCATAAAGAGTAGCAGGAAGAATAATTAACAGGGAAAGAAGTCAACTTGCTTTCTTAAACCTTGGATGGACTTAGAGTGTCTTTTTCTGTAAAAGGTTAAATCGCTTCAGCTGAGATTTTGAAAATCTGTCCCAAGAGGTTAACTCAGCTCACCATAACTAAATAAAAATAATATTTTTTGTTTCTCTTCCCTTTTGTATTGTAAAATAATACATAAGGACATGAAGAATACCTTTATTTATGACTATCTCTCCAGTATATTGAAAAAGTGATGGCTAAGTGATAGCCAAATTAATTGAAAAAAATGGAAGAAAATGTTTCTTTGAAAAATTTAATGATAAATCAGACAACTTGGACTTGGACTTAAAATTGCTATAGGTTTAACTCTCTCATATCTATATCTATATATCTATATATTTTTTATATATATTACATATATATAAGCCAGAGAGAGAGATCCCCCAACCATTGGTCCATTCCTCAAATGCTGGCATATTCAGGGGCTAAAGCTAGGAACCAGTGGAGTATAACTGCAAAACTTCCTGGCCTATCATTCATTTATTCACAAACTCTTTCATATCCTGATTGCAGCATTCATTGATTTGAATTATCTTAAAAGTGAATTATCCTGTGCTCTCTAGGTACTAATTTGTACAAATTACTTGTATCAAATGTATACTGGTGGGCCGGCGCCACAGATCACTAGGCTAATCCTCTGCCTTGAGGCGCCGGCACACCAGGTTCTAGTCCCGGTCGGGGCTCCGGATTCTGTCCCGGTTGCCCCTCTTCCAGGCCAGCTCTCTGCTGTGGCCCGGGAGTGCAGTGGAGGATGGCCCAAGTCCTTGGGCCCTGCATCCCACGGGAGACCAGGAGAAGCCCCTGGCTCCTGCCTTCGGATCAGTGCGGTGCGCCGGCCGCGGCGGCCATTGGAGGGTGAACCAACGGCAAAAGGAAGACCTTTCTCTCTGTCTCTCTCTCTCACTGTCCACTCTGCCTGTCAAAAAAAAAAAAATGTATACTGGTATTCTTGATGAAAGTTTCTCCTTAAACACTGTCTGTCATTGCCTCTGCACAGGCTCCGCCCTCCAAGGCAATCCATGCTCGCCCATAGGATTTGTCAGAGAGGTGAGTCTAGTCATCCATGACTATTCTGGGAATCATAAAATTCAGTTCAAGCTGGATAAATGATAGCATAAATGTCTAGACATAAGCAGACTTCAAAGTGGCTGTGTTGAACTTTGTGATTTTATTAAGGACCTGATTTCCTCTAATGTGTTTTTGCTCTGGTTTTTGTCGAATCAGCTCCATTACTTCAAAATCAATAAATATCCAAAATTAAACATCTTCTATTGAAATAGAGAAGGAAAACCAGGATTTGATTGGTGAAAAAAACAAGAGAGAGAGAGAAAGAGAAACAGCACTGGGTATGCACAAATTTAAGAGTTTCCTATAAGAGAACAGAAAAATAGTGTGGTAACTGAAGGGAGATGTGGCCCCTGCGGCATAAAAAATGAGTTGAATATTACAATTATGATGGCACATTCTTCCGGTGTATTGGGCCCAAACAAGTAACTTTTTGAGCATGTTTTCTTGTAACTATTCACTATTGGTATGCCTTTGTGTGTGAACTACTGTTCTTTGCCTAGTTTATTATTTGTCTTATTCTGGATACAAAGTTTTGTTTTCTTGTACATATTGCAAATATTTTCCCCAAATTGTCACTTAACTTTCATTATTATCAAAATGTAGAAAGGGTTGGAGAATAAAATCCAATGATTATTCTCAAGAAGTAATAAAACCTGATCTAAAATCAATAATCTTTTAAACAATGTTCTGACACTAAAACTCAGGTGTACAAAACGTAGTGCAGGTCACCATTCTTATCACATCTTGTATCTTGCTATTTGTTAAGGGAACAACTAGTGCTATTCACTGTGCTTAAAAGCCGCATATATTACCTTTTTTAATCCTCACAATCTATGAGTTAAACATTACAACCTCAATTTTATAAGTGAAAAAATGATTTTCAGAGAATTTAAGTATGTCTTCCAATGTTATGCATTAATTACAAAGAACGGATCCAGAATTGAACCCTGTTCTGACTCCAAATCACTATTCTAACTTTCTGAAGTGTAACTTCCAAAATCAATGATCATTAGAATTCAGAGTGACTCTTACTGCAACCACTTTAAAAGGCAGCATAGAGTGATTGTTAAATGTGGAGCTGACTCCTGGTCAAGCCATTTGCTAGTAATTTTCTGGGCTTCACTTTAAAAAAAAATGTGAAATAGGGAGATATCATCAATCTCATACTTGGTAGGATATTTTGACTGATACATGGGTACTTCAAAAAGATCATGGAAAATTGAATTAAAAGTTACTTTTATTTTGGCGCAAATTGATCTTCAAATCCACACTTTTTTCATCTATGCATCTTCCACGAAACTTTTGAAGACATCTCATATACATAATGTAGTGTCTGGTACGTAGTTAGTGCTCAGTAGTGGTCAGCTATTATTATATTTTTTCTTCCCATCAGATGCCAAATCTCTGTGTGAATTGAACTCACGACTACCTAGAATTGAGATGACTATCTACTGCTGAAGAGAGTGCATTATCTCCTCTAGAGATCCATTTTTACCTTCCCAAGTTCCAGTTATTAGAATGCTCTTCCTAACTGAAGAGCAGCTGGCAGTTTTCCTTCTCAAAAATGCTTTTTTCAATGCTCTTTGGGATGGTGCACAAGATACAATCAACCTTTTGAAGGCCATTATTTTACTTCTGTAAGTTGTCTTCTAGCCAAAAGAAAAATAATCACGGTCATCTTCCATATGCACCTGTCACATTCTCAGCGGAACCCTTATTTTCTACAACTGTGGGTGATATGTCCCCAGGTTAGCAGGGCTATGCTCCTTCCCAACCTGGGTCATCTACTATGTAGCCAGTTCTCTTTACTATTTGCATTTTTACCATGTTATAGCCATATGATAAAGCTGACTCATGTGTTCTTATAAGAGAAATCAAGCTATCTCTTGAAACTGAGGTTTTAGACCCAATGTAGAGCTTATATTCAGCCCACAAACTCAAGTGCCTGGAATAAGAGGCTATTTCCAAGATAGTACGGTTTTGTTATTACAGTACAATTAATTCCCTGACTATAATCAGAAACATGCATGTCAACTTAATTTAGTAATAAAAACTATGGAAAAACTCCTTAATAGCTTTTTTAAAAAGGACTTTCATTAAAATCTACCTACTTATTTAGGAAAATTTATTGTTCACCCAAGAAAGTGTAATGCTCTTCAGTTTTATCTTTACATCACCACGTTTCAGTAAATAACTTTATTTTTTTCTTCCCATAAAGCCAATGGATAATTAAAAACTGTTTTCCCCCCTCAGATGATGATATTAGCCGTTTAGAGTGCTCCGTTTGTTCTTGCTTTGTGAGCACTCATTACATTCCTTCTGATAGTTTCTTTCCTTCCTTCCTCCCTTCCCATTTTAACTCATTTCTTCTTATTTTTCATAAACCTTGGTTGACTTCAAGTTAGATGATTCTGTAGTTATGTGGAACAGTTAGAATCTGAAGGGAAAACTAGGGGTAGGGGGAGGACTCTGGTACATGACACTACTTATAATTCTGCCCAATCCATGGCCTTACTGTATGAATAGATGACAACTCACCTGTCTGACAGCAGCTAAGAAGTTATATCTCCTAAGTATTAACAAACCAGTGATCAGCCCCACATCCTTACATAGTCTTCTTTTTTTTATTTTTTTATTTTTTTATTTTTATTTTTTGACAGGCAGAGTGGACAGTGGGAGAGAGAGAGACAGAGAGAAAGGTCTTCCTTTGCCGTTGGTTCACCCTCCAATGGCCGCTGCGGCCGGCGCACCACGCTGATCCGATGGCAGGAGCCAGGAGCCAGGTGCTTCTCCTGGTCTCCCATGGGTGCAGGGCCCAAACACCTGGGCCATCCTCCACTGCTCTCCTGGGCCACAGCAGAGAGCTGGCCTGGAAGAGGGGCAACCGGGACAGAATCGGGCGCCCCGACCGGGACTAGAACCCGGTGTGCCGGCGCCGCTAGGTGGAGGATTAGCCTAGTGAGCCGCGGCGCCAGCTTTACATAGTCTTCTTATAAATGTTTTAATATTCACTACTGACTCCTCTCCTGCCGAAATAGTTTCATATGCTTACATTAAAAGATAAACAGACTGGGCCATGGTGGTCATGGCATAAATATAAAGCCAAGTGGTGGAGAAGGTATCACTCAAAGACAAAAACACAATTGCACCAATGGCTGCCTTCCCTTCTTTCCCTAACTTTTCCACTTCTACTCTGTAATGAGCAAATTCTCATCTGCTCCTGCATCGATCATTCTCGGGCCTTTTTACACTTTACTCATTGGCTCATAACTAAGTGGACACATTCGACTCATAAGAAGAGCATGGGAGAAATGGCACTGCCCTATCATCCACATCAGCCCAACTGTCAGAATTTGGAGTCAGGAGGCTCCTTCTGCCTCCCCTAGAAGTAGATAAGGCAGGTAAGGTCCTTTCCTCACTTTTAAATTCTTCAAACTCAGAATTGTAGTCACTCTTCCCATTCTCTAACTTCTTTTTTCAACCATCCTTCTCCTACACACACACACACACACACACACACACACACACCAAAAAATAAATAAATCAAAAACCAACCACCACCCTCCTACACTGGCTCTACTCCTTAGTCATCTTGGTCTTGCCCTCAACTGACTAAACCACATTGATACGTGACTCACACCTTCCTCTTGTACAACTCACGGCCATAATCATTTTCAAAATGCTGTGTGGTAAATACAGCAACAGGTTCTGGACCCTGGGTTTAGCCCCAGCTCTAACATTACTCATTTTGTTGCCATGAGAAAATGATTTAAACTCTGCTTGCCATAGAATGGAACTGCTAATGGGAATAGCCTCTCCAAGTGTAAAAATTCAACGATTCAAAGTACCTGAAAGCTTTTAGAACATCATCTGGCACATAATAAATACCTCATAAGTGCTAGTTATTTTTATTAGCGATTTTGATTTTCATAAGAATAGTACATCTCTATGGGCTCTTAGCCTCTTGATATAATAATCTACAGTTGACTTTTTCTTCTAATTTGTTATGGTTGTCTAAACCTACTATCACAGCCTAAATCTCCAGGTCCACAGACCCAGTTTTACTTCCCAAGTTTCAAATTAATAATCTTGCTTCCCAAACACAAATCCTGTGTTTCCAGTTGACTTTATTCAGGGACCCCCAGCAGTATACTTTTTCCACCTCCCTAAGACCTCTAGTCCAATGGCCTTAACACCATCAATCCATGAGTTCTGTTTCAATCCCTTTCCCAGCTATCTTGGATTCTTTGACCTTCCATTGTGATTGTTCCCTTGCAAATATCACCATTTTTTCCTCTCTCCCTTTTTCTCACTCAAATAGCAACATCAGTGCCAGGTAAATCCATTAGAAACCCAATGTTTCCTGTCTGCAATCCCTTTGGGGGATTTCCTTGGAAGGAATTTCAGGAATGGCACCAGTTAAGGTTAGAGTCACAAAGCTCAGTCTGGACACTGCTCAGCCTTCTCTGGGACTCTAGTGTTCTCATTGTTCTCCTTTTTGGAAGTGCTTACTTCATTTATTTCCTTTTTCCTCAGAACTCCTATATCTGCCCCATCCATTCACAGTTGAAGAATTTACCTCATATTTGATTGGAGAAATGATATCTGAGATTTCTCTCACCTTCCTGCAACTCAAGTCCAGTTGATGCTGATCCTCACTCACTTTCTCCTTCTTTGTTCCCATTGTAAAGTATGGAAAGGGGTAGGGGTTGCGTCTATGCCTAAACGAAGTCCTCCTCTCATGAGCAATCATCCCTCTCTCTTATATTCGCAATTTAAATATCTTTATTGGATCATTCACAACATTCTATAACACTATCTCATTTTTCCAGTTTTAAAAAATAAAGCCCTATATTGACACCAACCTTTCATTTACTACTTTATATGCACTACTTCCAGGTCAAGCCTAAAAGAGAAATTTTATTTCTGTTGTCTCCATCTTCTTATTTGCCACTCACTCTTCAATATGTTTGTGCTCA